AGCTGGGCTCTGGGAGGAGGGGGGAGCAGAGAAACAGGAACTGGGTGGTCGTGGGGGTTTCTTTAACTCTCTACTCCTGGAGGAATTTTTGTGTGAGTCTGTATTGTTACAGATATACTTGCTGACAAGTATTTTGAAATAAATTATATAATAACGCCTGTTTCAATTATTTTGGTAGTCTTATTTTAACAAAATTTGCAGAATTTTGCAGAATTTTAAAATTTTTGGCGTAGAAGGCTCCCACGAGTAATTAGTACACCCGCAGAGGCATTAGAAAATATTAGCAGCCATAAGAGCATTAACCATGATTTGTACGATGAGTAAGGCTATGTTTTAGTCATGGGTATTTTTAGTAAAAGTCACAGGCAGTTAACAAAAATTCTTGGCCCATGACATGTCCATGACTTCTACTAAAAATACCTGTGTCTAAAATTTGGGCGGGGGACCACGGGCGCTCTGGGGTGGGGGTGCTCTGGGGGGCCGCTGGGGGAGGGGGAGAACGGGGTGCAACCCGGGACTTGTGCTGGGGCGGGGAGGGTTGGTGGGGCTGGCAGGGATTCGCTACACGGCTCCGCATCCCTGCAGCTCCTAGGCAGTGGAGGGGCACAAGCGCCGGCTCCCGCAGCTCCCATTGGCTGGGAACGGGCCTGCAGGCATGAGCAGCACGTGGCACGGAGTTTGTCTCCCCCTAACCCCTCCACCACCTAGGAGTTGCAGGGCCATGCCAGTGGGAGCCCCCCACCCTGAGGTAAGCGACCCCCCGCACCCTTCAACCCCCTGCGCCTAGCCTTGAGCCCCCTCCCACACACCTGAACTGCTGCTGCTGACCCAGGGGCTACCCAGCTTGGGCAGCCCCTGAGCCAGACCAGCCGCTGCAGAAGTCACGGAGGTCACGAAAAGTCACAGAATCCATGACCTCCATGACAGACTCACAGCCTTAACTATGAGTAGTCTCATTTAAACATAGGAGTTTCTTCTTTTTTGGCAATGTCATGTTTTTACGGTGTCCTAGGTACAGATCATTCCTGGCATCAAACATAGAGGAAAACATACAAAACAAGCAATGCTTTGTCTGTTTGCTTCACCAATTTGGCCTTGCATTTGTATCTTTCTGATCTTTTTGATCCATTTTATTTTTGCTGCACTTTCTCTCAGTATGGAATGGAGAGGAAAAGACAAAACACCCTTCCCCAAATGGATTTTGAATCTTCTCAGGAGTAGCAACTTGTTCTAATCCAATATTTATTTTTTTATTTCTTTGCGCTTGGAGAAGTCAAGATCTTTAAAGCTGTCTCCTGCTTCAAGCACCTCTTTTTACAGTTACTTAGATCTACTGTACAGTAAATATGTACCCCATGCTTCTCTTTCAGTTTACATCATAAATTGCCTAATTTAAAAATATTCCTACAGATGTGGAAAAAGGAATAATGTGGCTTTTATAGGAATTTTTTTAAATCCCTGAAATATGCCTGTGTAATTTGCCACCCACAGCTTTCTTTCAGTATTTTCCAACTAAGAATGCAATTAATAAACAACCATTTATTCAATAATTAAATCAGATATTTTCTTATAAGGTGTTTCTTAACCTTTTTTAAACATGAAGAAACTAGTTTGATTTTTGTGTGAAAATATGAAATCAGCAGTATTGAAGTGTTATTGTGGCTGTGTTGGTCCTTGATTATGGGAGAGAAGGTGGGCGAGGTAATATCTTTTATTGGACCAACTTCTCTTGGTGAAAGAGACAAGCTTTTGAGTTCCACAAAGCTCTCTGGAGCTCGAAAGCTTGTCTTTTTTACCCACTGAAGCTGATCCAGTAGAAGACATTACCTTTCCTACCTTGACTCTCTCAAATCAGGTGTAAGCAGTTTTAGACACTGAGTAGAAAAGAATTCATCTTTGTTCTTCAACACAGAAATTGCAGCAGTTCCATTTTCTTTAATCTTTTAGAGTATTTTTTTAATGTGTGGGACATTATACTGACTAAATAAAAAATAATTCTACATATTTAGCACTGTTCTTAACCAAAACATAAATTGCTATTAAACTGAAGTCCTATCTACCCTTGATCAGAGACTGAATGAAGGACTCCTAAGAAGTGTATCCTCAGTAAAAAATCACCTGCAGATTCAGAGGAAAAGTACCGTAGAAGTATTTCTTTCAACACAGGATCCCATCATATAATTAAAACTGTGGTTAAATGATATTCCTGTTTCATTTTTTTAAGACTGTTGTGGAGACTGGGGGGGGAAAGCTAGCAAATATTTTAATTTGAACTTTTTCTTTGGGGTTCATATTTGGCTTTGCTTATTTTTAGATACTTTATCAAGTTTACAAGGGGGAAAAAGATATATTCTGAATTAATATTTTAGTGTTTATTGGCTAATTTCCAATATACTTTTTTCAATTTTCTTTTTGTATTGTGTCAACAAACTAACAAAATAATAGAACATTAGGTATAACAAATATATAGTCTGCCTTTTCTGTGCATTATATATCTCATGTCAATTGGTTGTTGATTATGTTGATCCATTCAATCAGAGGGCCCCAATCCTTTAATGGCGTCTTCTCATGCAGCGCCCCCATGCCTGTGCAGTGTCCCAGGATTAATTTGGACTTCAGTGGGACTGCACATAATTGAGAAGTCCTCGTTAATAGATCCAATTGCAAGTTTGTCACATGAGACTATGGCCCAGTGATGATGAATCTCAGATTATATTATTTTGCTTTATTCAAGAGAAAGGAATTTTAAAATCTATTTCAATTGTTAGTATATTACTGTAAAGGATTATTAAATTATTTTTTCTGCTGGCATATTTATATATTCCATTACAAAAAATATGTTAAAAGAAGATTAAAGTTACAAAGCAAGCACTCAATAGTTAAGAAATACCAAACTTAAGGTTGCCTATGAAAATCTAGTGTCATTTAAAAATCCAAAATGACATGGCTTTGACAGTATGGCAAATCTAGGTGGTATTACTAATTCCTACAATTCCACAATTCCCACAATTCCATTTGTGACTGGTGGGTTCCTTGCACCTTTTGCCGTGAATCAATTTTGTGGTGTTAATGTTTTTTTTTAAAATATATGAAATACATGGTCATGGTGATGTAATTTTATACTGTATTGCTGCCATATATATATCGAGTTGCAAAACCAGCAAATGAGAGGGACTTTCCCCTTTCTCTGTATTTGCCAACTCCTATCAGAGAAATTGGGCCTGAAGAGCTTGTATACTATAAAATAATCTACCAACAGCACATGTGCTTTAAGAATGATAGAAATTTTTAGATGAGTCATTCTGTTTCAGATCATTACCCCTCAGTACCTAAGCATGGGCTACAGAATAGACATGCAGGAATAAAAGTGTATTTATGAAAGTATGAGAGATGGCATAGTTGCTATGTTTAAGTAATCGTACCTTTGGCTGAGTACAAAAGAGGTGACTTGATTTATGTTTGTAGTGTAGCTGTGTTGTCCTGGGACAGGAAAGACAAGGTAGGTGAGGTAATACATTTTATTGGATCAATTTCTGTTTTAACAAAGCTTGGTCCAATAAAAGATATTACCTCACCCACCTTGTGTCTCATGATTTATTTAATTATGGAGGGAAAAACTACTTGCCATCATTATTGCTCAGAAAACTTTGTATATTATCCTAGAATACTACAGTAGTGGGCAAGTAGTGAGAAACAGAACCACTAACCCAGGAACCTATCCTTGCAACAAAGCCCGTTGCCAACTGTGCCCACATATCTATTCAGGGGACACCATCAAAGGGCCTAATAACATCAGCCACACTATCAGAGGCTCGTTCACCTGCACATCCACCAATGTGATATATGCCATCATGTGCCAGCAATGCCCCTCTGTCATGTACATTGGTCAAACTGGACAATCTCTACGTAAAAGAATAAATGGACACAAATCAGATGTCAAGAATTATAACATTCATAAACCAGTCGGAGAACACTTCAATCTCTCTGGTCACGCAATCACAGACATGAAGGTCGCTATCTTACAACAAAAAAACTTCAAATCCAGACTCCAGCGAGAAACTGCTGAATTGGAATTCATTTGCAAATTGGATACTATTAATTTAGGCTTAAATAGGGACTGGGAGTGGCTAAGTCATTATGCAAGGTAGCCTATTTCCCCTTGTTTTTTTCTACCCCCTCTCCCCCCCCCCCGACGTTCTGGTTAAACTTGGATTTATGCTGGAAATGGCCCACCCTGATTATCATGCACATTGTAGGGAGAGTGGTCACTTTGGATGAGCTATTACCAGCAGGAGAGTGAGTTTGTATGGGGGTGGGGGGGTGAGAAAACCTGGATTTGTGCTGGAAATGGCCCACCTTGATTATCATACACATTTTAAAGAGAGTGGTCACTTTGGATGGGCTATTACCAGCAGGAGAGTGAGTTTGGGGGGGGGGGGGCGGAGGGTGAGAAAACCTGGATTTGTGCTGGAAATGGCCCAACTTGATGATCACTTTAGATAAGCTATTACCAGCAGGAGAGTGGGGTGGGAGGAGGTATTGTTTCATGGTCTCTGTGTATATAATGTCTTCTGCAGTTTCCACAGTATGCATCCAATGAAGTGAGCTGTAGCTCACGAAAGCTCATGCTCAAATAAATTGGTTAGTCTCTAAGGTGCCACAAGTACCCCTTTTCTTTTTGCGAATACAGACTAACACGGCTGTTACTCTGAAACCTAGTGAGAAAATGTTATTTTTGTAATGTATTGGCTATCTGTAAGTATACACAAATCAGATACCCCATCATCATCAGGTGGGAGAATTGATATTTTAATAAAATCACATTTAGATGGTAAATTAAAAAGAATCTGAATATGCAGTAATATAAATAACTACTAGGCAGTACAGAACTGTAATCTCTCAAAACATTCTTATTTTGGCAGGATCTTTCAGGCATTTATTTAAAATGATGCACTGTTCATAGAGTTTCTCACTTTTTGTCTGCTTTGTGCAAATTGCAGATACTGGTTTGGGAGATTCTGTGTGTTCAAGTCCAAGTATATCCAGCACCACAAGTCCCAAACTGGATCCTCCTCCCTCCCCTCATGCCAACAGAAAGAAACATCGTAGGAAGAAAAGCACGAGCAATTTTAAAGCTGATGGTATCTCAGGCACTGCTGAAGGTAAGCTTTCTATGCTGTCGGGAGGTCCAGATTCCCAGTGTTGTTTCATTATCCTGAAAGCCTCCAAGTGTTGTCTTGAATCTTTGTTGTTGGATACTAGTTTAACTTGATTGCTAGATTTGTATCTTTAAAGGTGAACAGAAGCACATGTAAAGAGAAATCCAGCAATCCAACTTTTTCATGAAAAGCTGAATGGTAAAAGAGACATCATAACAGACAAATTTCTGTGATCCTCAAATCTTGTTTCATCAAATGGTGTTTGCTTTAAGAACGGTACCCAACCTGTTCCTTAGTCATGTGCATGTGTGTCTGTCATCATGGATAGCACAGATGAGGTTTGGGCCTTTTTATAAGACAAAAGTAAGTTAGCATATATTCAGTACATCTCCAATAAGCACAACTTAAATCCTATATTATCTTTGCTCATTAAGCACACTCCATGTTCAGAGCCAGTTGTCAATGCTTTTGATGCCTGCTATTGTTTGTTTGACTAGTCAGCTGCTCGTGGAAAGATTGCATTATTAAGAGCAAGGAAAGGGAAGAGTTAAATGTTTGGGTTCATTTTTAAGAACCAGACAGTAAAAGCCAAAAGAGGTATTTTATTCCCTTAGTTTATCTTAATATTTCCAATGCTATCCGTGCTCGTAGTTCAACATCCCGCTGAAGAGGTAGCAATACGTACACAGTAGCTAGATATGATATAAAAACATACTTCTATCTGTAGAAAAGAAGAATAGAAACATGCTACAATTCAACTGAATGAGCTCCAGAAAAAAAAAATGAACAAGGGTAGTGGGAAAGCATAGAAACTGGAGAGTCAAAAGGAGAGAGTGGAATAACAATGTGGAAGAATAGGAGTGTTAAGAAAAACGTTGGAGGGTAAAACTAGCTAATTCAATATCGAAGAACAAGGGGGCAAGTTCTGGAAACGGGATGACAATTGCAGGCATCTGAGGAGACATTAAAATAGAGATGGGATAATAGTATACAACTGGGAAGGGACATATTAAATACTACTTAGTCATCCTTATTTTCCATTTACTTTAATTTCTCAGTTGTGATGCTATCACCTCTGGATTATGTTTTATTTCCATAGCTGCATGTGTGAATTCTTTGTTGAAAACCTTGGCTTTGTCCATAATAGCTCCTGCTGCTTTCTCTCCATGTTATGTGTCATCTTTACCGTTGGACTCCCCCTAGTTTGACCGTGGAAAGCCAAATTTTATTTTAGACCTTCATTTTTTACTTGGGTTCTTTTTCTACTCCACTTTACACATTTGCACATATTTGCACACCCAGAAGATTAAGAATGGGATTTTTCAAAAGTGCTCAAAGTCAGCTCCCATTGAGGTTAATAGAGGTTTTACCATTGCCTTCAATGGGAATTGAGATTAGCCAGCACCAAAGGCATTTGAAAATCTCATTCTTAATTTCTCAAGGGAAGGACAAAAGGTTAAATGTGATCTCCACAGATTCCCCAGAGTTCCAAGAGCCACCTGAGCCATATATGTTGGTGAGGAGATCAGTATTGTAAAGGAATAAATGACTCCTTCATCCTCATTCCCTGTCCCCTTCGTATCCATGCAGCTCGGGACTTCTGGCCTGTCAACAAATGTGGGGATTTTTTCACATCAATTCCAAGATTTCAGTATTTTTTCTTTTCTGTTCTTGTTTTTCAAATCTTAGTCATAATTGTTTTCTTAGTCAGGAGACTGGGGAGCTTGGGTTTAGCTCTCAATTTGTTGTTGTTGGCTCATTGTGGCTGAAGGCAAGTCTGGCCTGGGAGCATGTTTCACTCATACACAAAATGGGTGTCTGATTCACTCTCAAGCTTAAGGGGTTCAAGAGAAATACCTCCAAATTTCCCATGGAAGAGACCTTAGCTTCCTAGCCTGCAACCTTTTTGAACACAGTTACAAGTCTTTCCTCCTTCTGTCTGAAGGCTTTAAAGCACGTTCGGAAGGACAAGACATGATTGTCAAGCATTAGAAGATGCTACAGCAGAGGTGGGCAAACTACGGCGGGACCATGCTGCCCGGCCCTTGAGCTCCTGGCCAGGGAGGCTAGCCCCGGCCCCTGCCCTGCTGCCCCCATCCCCCGCAGCCTCAGCTCACTACGCTGCTAATGCAATTCTCTGGGCGGCGTGGCTGCGAGCTCCTGCCGGGCAGCGTGGCTGGCTCCAGCCGGTAAGGAGGCAGAGAGCAGGGGGGTTGGATAAGGGGCAGAGGGTCCTGGGGGGCAGTCAGGGGACAAGGAGTACGGGGGATTGGATAGGGGATAGGGTCCTGGGGGGCGGTTAGGGGCAGGGAGTCACGAGAGGAGGCGGTCAGGGGACAAGGAGCGGGGGGGGGGTTGGATAGGTCAGGGGTTCTGAGGGGGGCAGTTAGGGGGCAGGAAGGGGGGGCGAATAGGGGGCAGGGGCCAGGCTCTTTGGGGAGGCACAGCCTTCCGTACCCAGCCCTCCATACAGTTTGGCAACGCTGATGTGGCCCTTGGGCCAAAAAGTTTGCCCTCCCCATTCTACAGTATCTTTGACAGCTGCCCATAAAAGTAGCACCCAGCACAGACATCTGCTTTTACATGCCTCTCCCTGAAGTATCAATGCATTTTGTCTGTTCCTGCCACTTCTGCATAAGGTTTCTAGTCTAGCTTCTAGGTGGGCATTCTCTTATGCTTTTGGCACTTAGCGCTTTCAGCTATCTAGGATGTGACACCATCTAGCCATTTTAAGAACAAAAGCATAAACTTGTCCCTCAACATCAACTAGAAAGTGGGTCAGCTCCCTGTAGAACTCTCCTCATGAGTCAGAAAGTAACTCTCAGTACCCTTCATCCAAACACCTACCCTCGTGGCAGCTTAATGGGGCTAAATCGGGGCGGGGGGGAGATAATCTTCATCCGAGAATATTAAAGGAACTGGCACATGAAATTGCAAGCCCATTAGCAAGAATTTTTAATGAATCTGTAAACTCAGGGGTTGTACCATATGACTGGAGAATTGCTAACATACTTCCTATTTTTGAGAAAGGAAAAAAAGTGATCCGGGTAACTACAGGCCTGTTAGTTTGACATCTGTAGTATGCAAGGTCTTGGAAAAAAATTTGAAGGAGAAAGTAGTTAAGGACATTGAGGTCAATGGTAATTGGGACAAAATACAACATGGTTTTGCAAAAGGTAGATCGTGCCAAACCAACCTGATCTCCTTCTTTGAGAAAGTAACAGATTTTTTTAGACAAAGGAAACACAGTGGATCTAATTACCTAGATTTCAGTAAGGTGTTTGAAACGGTGCCACAAGGGGAATTATTAGTTAAATTGGAAAAGATGGGGATCAATATGAAAATTTAAAGGTGGATAAGGAACTGGTTAAAGGGGAGACTACAGCAGGTCATACTGAAAGGTGAATTGTCAGGCTGGAGGGGAGTTACCAGAGGAGTTCCTCAGGGATCAGTTTTGGGACCAGTCTTATTTAATCTTTTTATTACTGACCTCAGCACAAAAAGTGGGAGTGTGCTAATAAAGTTTGCGGATGACACAAAGCTGGGAGGTATTGCCAATTCAGAGAAGGACCGGGATATCCTACAGGAAGATCTGGATGACCTTGTAAACTGGAGTAATAGTAACAGGATGAAATTTAATAGTGAGAAGTGTAAGGTCATGCATTTAGGGACTAATAACAAGAATTTTAGTTATAAGCTGCGGACGCATCAATTGGAAGTAACAGAGGAAGAGAGGAACCTTGGAGTATTGGTTGACCACAGGATGACGATGAGCTGCCAATGTGATATGGCCGTGAAAAAAGCTAATGCAGTCTTGGGATGCATCAAGCGAGGTATTTCCAGTAAAGATAAGGAGATGTTAAGACCATTATACAAGGCACTGGTGAGACCTCATCTGGAATACTGTGTGCAGTTCTGGTCTCCCATGTTTAAGAAGGATGAATTCAAACTGAAACAGGTACAGAGAAGGGCTACTAGGATGATCCAAGGAATGGAAAACCTGTCTTATGAAAGGAGACTCAAATAGCTTGGCTTGTTTAGCCTAACCAAAAGAAGGCTATGGGGAGATACGATTGCTCTCTATAAATATATCAGAGGGATAAATACCAAAGAGGGAGAGGAATTATTTAAGCTCAGTACCAGTGTGGACACAAGAACAAATGGATATAATCTGGCCATCAGGAAGTTTAGACCTGAAATTAGACGAAGGTTTCTAACCATCAGAGGAGTGAAGTTCTGGAACAGCCTTCCAAGGGAAGCAGTGGGGGCAAAAGACCTATCTGGCTTCAAGATTAAGCTCAATAAGTTTATGGAGGAGATGGTATGATGGGATAACATGATTTTGGCAATTAATTGATCTGGGACTATTAGTGGTAAATAGACCCAATCTCCTATGATGGGATGTTAGATGGGGTGGGATCTGAGTTACTACAGAGAATTCTTTCCTGTGTATCTGGCTGGTGAGTCTTGCCCACATGTTCAGGGTTCAGCTGATCGCCATATTTGGGGTCGGGAAGGAATTTTCCTCCAGGGCAGATTGGCAGAGGCCCTGGCGGTTTTTTGCCTTCCCCTGCAGCGTGGGGCATGGGTCACTTGCTGGAGGATTCTCTGCACCTTGAAGTCTTTAAACCATGAGTTGAGGACTTCAATAGCTCAGACATAGGTGAGAGGTTTATTGCAGGAGTGGGTGGGTGAGATTCTGTGGCCTGCGTTGTGCAGGAGGTCAGACTACATGATCATAACGGTCCCTTCTGACTTTAAAGTCTGTGATTCTATGTCGCAGGGCAAACGAGTCTACATCTAAAAATAATCTGTAGTATTTTTTTGCTCAGCCTCTTTGCCAAAGTCAGAAGTAGATGAAAAAGGAGAAGATGTAGTCTGCTTGAACTATTTACTTGTAAAGGGTGTTTAGATTGTGCTGCAGCAACTGAGGTGTCTACCTGTTTGTACTCATTCATAGTGACAGATTATCTTTATTGTCAGGTATCCAGATTATGAGTTGA